AAAAAAAAAGATACTTTCTCAGCTGAACTCTGCAGTGATTCTTTCAGGGTAGAGGGCTGGGTATTCAGTAGCAACAAAAGCAACAGAAAATACTTTTAATAATTCTCTCCACCTGCCTTTCAGACACACTGAGCACTATATAAATCTATTAGAGTGAATGGAAATAATTGTGGCCTGTTTTGAGATTTGTCAGGAAATACATGGTGTAATTTAGAATAATACGTTGCAATAATACTTTTTTTTTTCTCTTTAGGGTTCTATGCAACAAGTTAGCTCCCATTTCTTAGAGCAGACCCTTGATAAGAAGCTCATGTCAGATCTGAGGGTATGTGAATATTCGGGTTTGTTTGCTTTTTTGTTTGTTTGTGTGTAGTGTACTAACATCACACAACAGGTATGTTAATGCAGTGTGTGTGCGTGTGTGTGGTTAGCTTGCCTCAGGGCTACCAAGAGTTAATTGATGATGACAGATTTTCTGTTTGATTAAAGGCAATGAGGCAATTGCTGGTTTTAGGTTTCATTAGTTGAGCTTGCAGTGAACAGCTTTAGGCTATTCAGGTTTCCCAGAAGAATGGGAAACATTTCTATGCACTCCTGACAACCTTTTGTCTAAAAGCTTTATTTATTGTGGATGGAAAGACTGCATTCTAGTCCACAGAGGAATCTTATGGCAATGTCCTAAAGATCCATTTCCAGAGACATGGGTAGCTAGAGACTGGGGTGCCTGAGCCCTGTGAGCAAAACTTAAGCATAATTCCTTAAGTGACCCTCTCACTTAAGGTAATAAATTCTGTTCCTCTATCTACAAAATAGTGATGAAGCCAGAGCTGCTATTTTTTGGTGCGCTGCTGTGTGAAATACTTTAAGGATCTTTCAACAAAGTGCTGCACAGCTTGCTTTACAGACTGGAGGAAAGGATTAGCGAATGTGCTGAATGAGAACCACATTTCAATTTACACCCTGTTAACTCTGTATAGCATGGACAGCCATTGAGGTGTGTAATTGTGTTTTAATAGGTTTAAAGTGTCCGCATCTGTTTTTGCAGAGCAGTTGTGGGGTGCTTAACTGGAGGGGCCTTTTCTCTGACCCAGTTTGGCTCTTATGGCGTGTAGAGACATGTTAACTGCAATATATTAACTGTCATCCTTTCCCAACATTAAAAATACAAAGAAAATAACTGAAAAACTTCTTGGCACAGAGGAAACGGACTGCACATGAACGAGCCAAAGAGCTCTACAGCTCTGGGGAGTTCTCAAGTGGCCGGAAATGGGGAGACGATGCTCCCAAAGAAGAGATCGACACGGGCGCTGTGAACCTCATCGAGTCGGGAGCTTGTGGGGCCTTTGTTCACGGCCTGGAGGATGAGATGTATGGTGAGTGTTAACTTGCTAGGCACTGACTACAGAAGCATGTATGTCCTGGCTGGGTTTTCATCTTTTATTCTTTAAAAAAAGAGAAATTTCTTGGCAATTGTGTGTGTTTTGGGGAGAGGATTGTGGATTTCAGAGCGCTGCTTTTTTTGTGCTTATTTTTCCAGTTATTTCTAAGGTGTTCTAACATTATACAGTTTTTTGAATTGAAGCTCTCCATTGAGTACCCATCTAGAAATAGCTTCCATGACAGTGAAGTTTTAGTGAAATGTCTGGGTGGAAAAAATAGTTGCTTATTTTGTTCAGAAACGCACTGGAATTTTTTGTTTTTTATTATTGACTTAAATTTAACAGCTGGCTGTGGTCCTAAATTGGAAACATTCGTTCCTATTCTTTGAAGCTGGAGTTTTCTCTGGAGGAAGGAAAATCAGACTTGCTGAGATATGTTACTACAACTTCATGTTGTATAAAATAAGACTACAAGAGACCTGTGACCATGGAGTCCAGTCATAATTTCTTGCATGAATATAGCAGCTTTGCATTCTAACAAAAGCTAGAATTAACAGAGCAAAAAGAAGGAAATTATATTTCAAACTATTTAAGGATCTGACAGCTTCAGTGAACAGTTTTCTTCTAATTTCCAGACCGGGTTCATCCGTAGTTGACTATTTGTTCTTAGTGGGTGGGAAGTTTTGGGTTAAATAGGGTGGTACTTCTCTCTGGGACTAGCTCCCCTAGTAAATACAGGGACAGCTTTAATTTTACAAGGAACTAAACAAGCGAAGCCCTTTTTAGTCTTTGTTGGTATAAAAGTTCTCTCCTTGGCCAGCTAGAACTCATTCCACTTGCAAATTGCTGCAAGGCTCTGTATGTCTTCAGAAACACAGAGCTCTGATGAGCTTTTGCTTTTGTCTTTAGCAGTGTTGTCAATAATTCATTTTCTTTAATGGAAATATCTACATTCTCAGATCACCTCTACTAGTAAACATAGTGCAAATATCCTGGTGTCTCGTGGTTTTGCTATAATAGATTGGGAGACCTTAGTTGTCTTTCTCCAGCTTATAAAATTGGCTCTGTTCTTTTGACCCAGGTAAGTTCTGAGTGTAAAAGTGTAAAACAGGCCTTCCTGAGCTCCGCTTTTGACCGTAGCATTGAGCATGCTCATTTCTTGCCATGGCAACTAGGAAAGTCTGTATTTTAGGCTTTCTGGACCAACTTTCCAATGGGAAAATTGAATACTTGTGTTGTAAGGAGCTATTGAGAAGAGCTAGTATTTTTGTAAATCCTGACAAGGTTGAGCTCTAAGCGTTTTTCCTGAATTTCTTTTTAATGTTATGGGAAGAATGATGCTAAATTAGAAAGTATAAAAACACTACGACTAAAATGCCTCTTTTAATTGTGCTGTAAAAAATGGTTTATTGGTCCATGAATCCTTTTGATTTAAAGCATGTCTTCCTAATAGCTGAACTCCCCCTGAAGTCTGAAAAAGCAACTTTGCTTCTTCCTGACTTAGCAATAAAAATTATTCACTGGAACAAGTCTGTTAATCTGTGAACTGTGTCCCCTGGCTTCTGGTGCCTTTGTGGAAAGTCAATAAAATGGATAGAGGTAGTGTATATACACATCTCTGAATAATGTAGATAGAAATATTGGCAAAATGGTTCTGTTTATTTTATTTTATTTTTTCTCTTTAATACCTTGTTCTTAATGACCACAGGGACTAGCAGATGTGGCAAAAACGTTTTGTTACTGGATAAGCAGGGGCCTTGCTGTGTTTGTGTTTTTCTACTAAATCAGATTCATCGGGAATTCAATATGTTCTTTAAGAACAATGGGTCTAAAAGCAACTTAGAAGTTTAAATAAATGTTTTCAAGATGAGCTAATTTGGGTGAAAAATAGAAATAATACTTAAAACAATAATGTTTGCAGGACGTCAAATTCTTATTTTTAAGATCCCAGCATACGAGTGATCCCAGACTATAAATATTATTTCAGCTAGTGTGGATGGCTAAAGAGAAGAAAATCTCATCTCCCCTTAAGCTCGTTATATTTGGGTATTCTTCAAAGTTCTGCAGTGTTTTACAGCATAACTGCATTCTGGACAGTTTTTCTCTTTTCTTCCTTAAATTATGCATTGTTTTAATAATTAGTGGCATGTTTTCCCTTTTGAGGGATCCAAAGTCATGAAAGAAATGAAGTTCAGTCTGTTTGCTGCAGAGATGCTGCCACTCCAGGGCTTTTCAGCAATCCATAAAGTTCTACACGGCAAGTTAAAAATGCAACGAACGCTCTGAGCAATTAGTGTTGAGCAGAATAAAGCAAGCAGAGCTGAATTATCTAAATTAGTTTGCTTAAGATACCAGGGTTATATCTATACTTATAAAACATGCTATGAAAGGCTTAATATTTATTGGTGGCTAAGAAGGAATCCATCTAGATATATTTATACCAATAAAATTGCTCTACTGGAGATGGCCCTTGATTTGAAGGCTTTCTTGTGGAAAGGACTTGAGATGCTGCCTTAGTCTCCTTTGTCCTCAAGGTTTCTTCAGCATCTCCTGCCCCAAGCTCAACCCTTGAGTATTTTGAGTGGTGACCGTGGGGTGGCAGCTCTTTAAACCATCCTCATGACCGATTCCCTTTGCCAGAGGTTCGGATCGCTGCGGTGGAGGCCCTCTGCATGCTGGCTCAGTCTTCTCCTGCTTTTGCGGAGAAATGCCTCGACTTTTTAGTGGACATGTTCAACGACGAGATCGAGGAGGTGAGGCTGCAGTCCATCCACACGATGAGAAAAATCTCCAACAACATCACGCTGCGAGAAGACCAGCTGGATACTGTGTTGGCTGTCTTGGAGGTAAGAGTGGGCAAAAATCAGCTTTTCTGCTGTCTTTTAAGGCGTTAGAATTATATGATGCTAATCAGGCTCATCCTTTGAGCTGAAACCACTTTTTTATTTCTGCAACAAACGGAGTATGATCTGATCTTGCAAACATAGCAGCTAGTTTCATGTGTCTCAAACGTTTCTGTACCTGGTTTATGTATGTTCAAGCTAGGCATCTGTCCTTGAAGGCACAAACATTTACTAGTTAGACTGGAAAAATTTAGGGTACTATCTTAATGCTTCTGTAGTGATTTATCTTGTACGCTATGGTGGCTGAAGTGTGAGCCTGATTCACATTCTTGGTTTTATCAGTTCTGAAAGCTGCTTGCTTTCTGTCTCAGCAGTGAGATCCATCCTCAAGTAAGATAAGAGATCTCAGATAAGAGATTCAGATTTAAAAAAAAATAGTTTCTGCATTGCTTTTAGGGTGCAAATATGGAAAAGTTGGTGGGTTGGAGCTTCTGAGTAATTCCAGCAGTTGCTCCTTGCCTTTCCCCCAAGGCTGAAGCTCTGTATTATGTTTTTTTCACATAGTTCTTCCTTGTCTTTAGCTGACTTGTTCTCCCATCTGTTTCTCTAGTTTTTTGCCTCTCTGGTCTCCATCTTACCCCTCCTGGGGTCCTTGTGATGCAGGCAGAATGTAACATTTCCATGTCATTTCATTCCAGTCCTTAGAGGACATATTCTTTTCCAACCATAGCATGTCTATCCCTAGGTTCCCTTCTGCCAGAATAAGGAAGTGTTTTCCTCCTTTGATCATTTGTATGTGTTGTCATTTAAGAGCCTTTACAAGAGGACTGCTCTTTCTTCCTTTGTGCAAGGCAGTGATGAATGTGCTGTTGATACTTAGCAAGTTATAAATAAAACAAATCCACCACTGAAATGCATCCAGTTCTTGCTGTCAAATTTTCACAGTCTTTCCAGCAACGCCACACAAATGCTGATAACAATGAAGTGTAACACATATATATGAAACCACAAGGTGGTTTTTTGGCTGAAGGAATGTAATTATTTAAGCTGGACTTCAGTCACGGCCCAAAAATGCTGCTTGAAGAAGCTCTGCTGTACATATCTTCCTGCTTTGTAAATAAAATGGGTAAAATGTGACTTTAAAAGTGGAACATCAAGGATTCTATATTATTTGCACGAAGTAAACAGCTCAACTTGTAAGAGCTTGTTTTTTTCTTTTTAATGTATTTTATTATAAGTCCAAAAATGCTGCTTGAAGAAGCTTTGCTGTACATATCTTCCTGCTTAGTAAATAAAATGGGTAAAATCTGACTTTAAAAGTGGAATATCAAGGATTCTGTATTATTTGGATGAAGTAAACAGCTCAACTTGTGAGAGCTTGTTTTTTCTTTTTAATGTATTTTATTATATGTCTATAAACCAGTTGCAAGTTGCTATAACCTGTGGACTGTTCCTTGGACTGTTGCTGCTAGTAGCGACAGATCAGCTGGAGATGTGCACTGGTTTTTGGATGCCTCTAGCACTAATTCATCCAAAGAAGAGGAATTGCTGTGATTAAAATAGGTGTTTATGCACACGTATCCTGTCTCTGGAACTCAAAGGTATTTGGGTTGGATTTTTAGGATTCTTCGAGGGACATTCGGGAAGCTCTTCACGAACTGTTGTGTTGCACCAATGTCTCCACTAAAGAAGGCATCCACCTTGCCCTGGTGGAGCTCCTGAAAAACCTGACCAAGTATCCCACAGACAGAGAATCCATATGGAAGTAAGTGTGCTCAGTGGATCTGCTTGCTTCGCTGTTCTTTTTAGTATTTGAAAAATGAAACAACTTCTTAACTAGCTAAAGTGGTTGCAGGTGTAATATCCTGTAGTGCTGTAAATGTTTGGAAGAGCAGCTGCACCAAGAAGTCTGCATGCTCACACCTCACATACAGAGTTTGCACCTTATATACATGGCTGTACTCATCCTAGAAATCCAGCACTGATGGATTCCTCTTGGAAACAGCCCCCTCTCAGAAGCAGCCACCTCAAAACATCCCCAGAGTTCCCAGAAGAGATTAATTCAACCCTCAATTGAAAGCCATCAATTTATTTGTTTTTTAAACCTTCCACTCTTTTATTTATTTCCAAAACAAACAACCAAAAAAAGTAAATTTGCTATTATCATTTAGTCTGAATGGCTTTTTGTGGATTGAGTAGCTCCAGCTGTTCAGTATTCTTGGACATATTTCTGCCTGACATTACGTTTAAATAAACTGTGTTTATTATTTCTTGCTTTTTCAAGCTGTTGTCTTGGCTTTCTTGGATGCCATTAAGCATTAAAGCAAATACTCAGCCCCAAAGAGACAGCATTGCCATGAGTTTTCACAAAGGCCTGGACATGAGGATTTTGAGGTTGATTGGCACTTCAGGGTGCCACTAAAATACAGCAAAGCAGTGCTTTAAAATGTTGTGTTTTGCAGCATGTGTGCTTATTAAAAATATTATAATCTTTGTGTTTTCAGATGCTTAAAGTTCTTGGGGAGCCGACATCCAACTTTGGTGCTTCCATTGGTCCCGGAGCTCCTGAGCACACATCCTTTCTTTGACACTCCAGAACCAGACATGGATGACCCAGCCTGTATCTTTCCAATGAAACCAGTAGTTCTTTTTGACTCTAAAAGACTGCTATCTAGAACCACCTTCATAAATACCTATGGGGTATAATTAGCCTTTTTTCCTCTCTAGAATGAATAGTCTAGTTATCAAGCAATTGGTCAAGGTTTAGGTCTTGCAGATGTGTCCTTTGATATGAAAAACATTTGCCTAGTTTGCACTAATCTTAAAGACTCTTTAAATTTTTTATGTAAAACTCCCCCCACCACCACTATCATTTTTCATTAGAGCAGTGGCTAAATCCCTATCATGCTCTAAATTTATAATCTTTTTGAAATAATTCAAAATCAGAAATCCTTATGTTTGTACTTCTGATGCTCTAGAATAGAAACTGTTACAGCATCATCTTTAACAGAAAATGCCTTAAAAATGTGGAATCTTGGTTTTCTGTTGTTTGTTATTCTCATTTCTATACAACTGGAGAACATAATTTCAATTATGGATACTGAGAGATGTTAGACTGAAACAACTCTCCCCTTCTGTTAAGCATAGTCCTTATTTATCTCCATTCAGAGGCCATCAGCAGAACTTCTATGCAAGTCAAGTAAATAATGTATGAGCACTGAAAATGGCTAAAATTGGGTGGAAAGATATATCACTAACATGACAGTTAACCAGTAATTTGAGTAAATTTGTGGACTGAAGGAACATTGGGGAAAAGGTCCCTTCCAACCTTAAGCATTCTATGATTCTACGAAAAGGACTGTGGTTTAAATGGATAGTTTTGAACCAGAGAATATTATTTAGGATGTTCTGGAGATAGCTGCCTACCAAATCCTATGGAGAGATATTCTTTGAAGACAAGTCTGGGAGCCAGAAAACACAAAGTAGAGATGGTGGTGATATTTCTCCCCATTTTTGCTTTTTTTCTTCTTTTTAAGTGAATAAATTATATGGAAGTGTAGTTTTGCTTTGATTCAAAGTGTTTAGCAAGTTTCAATCAAATTAGCTAGTAGTTTCAGCTTAAATTTTGGAAAGGATCTTAGTCAAAGAGAGGGAATTGGTTTCTCAAGCTGCTGCCTTTATCCTTGGCAGCCTATAACTATTGCAGATTTTCATGAAGAAGGAAATGTGGGTTCAGGTCTCTTGTGTTGGAGAGAGGGTCTGAACCTGCTTCTGTCCCAAACGAGGACCTTGCCCATCCCAAGCTCTGGGCTGGGATCTTGTTGGAGATGTTACCCTTGGGGTTATCCTCTTGCAGGTGAAGGTTTCAGCTTTTTGGCTGCTTTTTGCTACCTTTTGTATTTCTCTAGCTCTTGCACTGTGAAAATGATCTTGTTATTCTATTCCAGAATTTTTTGATGTTCAAATCCTTGATTCAGTTTATAAATCTGTGTAAGAGGGATATTTTTCAGGGGGTTTTGCTCCATAGCAGAAAGAGCAGTTTTCAAAGCCTCGGAGATAAATGTTTTCTTTCAGGTGCTACTTGGGTACCAGACAGGTAAGCAGAGAGTAAACTGAGATGGGGAAGGGTGAGCACCACCACCACGAGACCCCATGTTCTCCTGGCTCCCGTCCTTCGTGTTGCCTGTGAGCAATCCCCTCTTGGCAGGAACATCCCTTCTGCAATATGGCCCATTCTCCAATGTTTACATGTTTTATTTCATTTTCATCTCCTCATACAGCTGCCTCTCAGCTTTTTGCTCAGCACCCTCCCCCTGTATAGAAAAACCTGAAGAATTTCCAGCCAGGAAAGGCTTGTGGAGCTGTTGCTTTAACTTGCTGATCCCCCACGAGCTGCTTTCTGTTGTTCATTTTCCCTTAACGATCCAATTGGATAGACATTGCTGTTCTGGTGCTGATTTTCAACGCTGCTAAGAGCTGCCCCACGATGCCCGCGCTCTTCTCGGACCACACGTTCCGGCACTACGCCTACCTGCGCGACAGCCTCTCCCACCTGGTGCCTCCCTTGCGAGTGAGTGGAACCGCCGGCCTGGGCTTTGTTGCTGCCAACACTGTAACATTTTGGGGATGGAAGGGTTTGGTTTTTAACCCCAGCTGTGAAGGGGGTGAATGTTGAATTGTACATGAAGAAAAGTCACCTACTAAATCCCCGCTGTAAGAGAGATGTGGAGCTTCTGGAGAGGATCCAATGTAGAGTAACAAAGATGATGAAGGGCCTGGAGCATCTATCGTAAGAGGAAGGACTAGGCGAGCAGGGTCTGTTCAGCCTGGAGAAGAGAAGCCTGAGAGCAGATTTGATCAACATATTCAAGTACCTGAAGGGACAATGCAGGGAGGATGGGGCCAAACTCTTCTCCATGGTGCCCAGTGCCAGTACAAGGGGTAACAGGGACAAGCTGAAGCCCAGGCAGCTCCACCTCCATGTGAGGAAGAACTTTCTTGGTGTGAGGGTGCCAGAGCCCTGGCACAGGCTGCCCAGAGAGGCTGTGGAGTCTCCTTCTCTGGAGATCTTCAACCCCCCTGGATGCGCCTGGGTGTCCCGTGCTCTGGGTGTCCCTGCTGGCGCAGGGGTTTGGACTAGATGATCTCTGGAGGTCTCTGTCAACCTCAACCATCCTGTGATTCTGTGAAATTGTTACAATACGGAGTTTGTAACATTTGGAGGAGCTCCCAGCTGAGAATAACAGGGAGTTTGGTGGTTAGGAGGGAGCACCTGAGGGCAGGATTCCTGGGAACTTGCTGGCAGAGATGGGAAAGGAAGTTTAGCCTATGCACAGCTTGCTAATGTTTGCCTTGCATCCTCCCTACCTGATTTACTCATGGGTAAGATATGTTTCCTGCCACTTTGGATCATGTTATTCCTGCGTGGAAGTAGAAGTGGTGCTGATGTTGGCCATGAGCCTTATTATGGCTCATAAAATGAGCTGCACTCTGTGTGGTCTCGACTTCGGCATCTCATAGTTTATAGATTAGGAAGATGTTTCTCTCCGAGGGATGTTGGAATTTAAACTGAAGGTGTGTGTCCAGAAGGTGATTATAAAACCATGCAGATGCAGACACAAAAGCCTTGACAAAAAATGTGAATCTGAAAAATAAGTTGGAGTTGTCAGGTATTTGCCCCTAGCTAGCGAGGCAGCGTTTTGGAGCATCTGTACTCGTGTTGAGCTCTTCTCTGTGCATGTGTTTCTTTTGCTTAGCTGCCGGGTAGAAAGCTGGTGTCCTCCCCTGTCTCTCCCAGTATCACCCCAAACGAGGACCCTTGCCAGCAGTTCCTGCATCAGAGCCTGGAGAGGGTTTACAACCTCCAGCACCTCGACCCGCAGGGCGTCCAGGAGCTGCTGGAATTCACCATCCGGTAAGGCTGCAAACCGCTGCCTTTGTGGAAGAGTCCCAAGGAAATGGGGGAATTGAATAAAATTAAACCGGGTTCAGATTCCAAGTTGCTTTGAAGAAGCTGCAGTGATTGGAAATGCGGGTAGTTTACTTTGCTATTGGGCACCTAGTCTGAACCTCCTGACAGAGGTTGTGATTAAAAAAGGAATCGTGACATGTTCAAAACAAAACCCAGGATCTCAGTGACACCAAATATCTGTGTGTGACTGAGGGGAAGATCTTTTCAGAGCTTGGTCAGGTAAGGGTGCCCTTGAACTGTTCACCTGTGGTCAAACATGCTTTCATTTTTTTAGGCTGACAGCTTTGAATCCTTATTTTGGGTGTATTATTTGCAATGCATGTGCTTTTTTCTTTATTATTTTACATTGCTGTTTGCAGTTGATAAGGACATACCGAGTGACTGCTGAATGCACATCCTGTTTTGCCTTTTCCATTTTGCCTGGGCACTGACTTACACAAACAGAACACTTGCAAAGGATCCTTTCCATGGGATTTGTCTGCTTGACAAAAAAGAAACTGTAGAAAAAAATACATAGTTTGTGTCAGGAAAAAAAAATGTAAAATGCAGTATTTGGATCCAAAATGTGAATAAAGAATTCCCAGCAACTTTTATTTTTTCATAAAAAGCTACTTTTTCTTTACATTACCTTTAGACTCCCTTGCAGTGGAGGGTAATCCATGTGCTCCTCCCTGAAAACCTCCCTGTGAAAAGCAAATTTCTTGACTGTTTAGAAGCTGTTCTGCACCATCTACAAGGCTGTCCCAAAACACTCAGGATATTAAATGTTTTAAACAGAACTAAACATCTTAGTCCTTTGGCAGAATGTCCAGAGTCTCATAGGCACAATAAAACAGAAACCTCACAGATTGTGAGCGTTTCCCTTTTGGAGTATAGGAGTTATGCCAGAGAGCATCATATAGATGGCCACAAGCATTGCTGACATGCAGTAAAGGACCTAATGGAAATAATTTTTATGATTTTTGGTGGTGGGATCTTTTTTTTTTCTGCTGGGGTCACCACCCAGGAACTGCACTAAACCAACTGCTCATTCACAGGCAGTGTCACTCAAACATGGATTGTTTGAGCGTCTCGGCTGCCAGCAAAATTCCTGTGTGGCAGAGCCCGGGTTTTGGGATTGTGCCATTAATATGGGAGCATCACAGCTAAAATGAGAGAACAGTCAACTGAAGAAAAAAAAATCCCTTTTTATTTTAATTTTGTTTTTTTGTAATAATGGGAAACATGGAAATAGACAGTTTTAGTTTGTTTCTGGAGCAAAGCAAAATGCAGATAAGAACAACGTGTTGAACCCATCTTATCCACCCTGTTTTAATTACAGAATGGAAAATAAGTTACCTTAATTTATTTAAGGGCTCAGTGCTCAGTGTCAGGAAGGTTTTTGGGTTTGATTGGCTATCATTTTTCTGGAGGATAAAACCTGCTGTGTGGTACAATTATCAGTACAGTAGACATAAAGAAGCTCGTTTTAAGAATGCAAAAGCTATAGCTTTTAAAAATGCTACAGCTCAGATGTTCCTGGTTGCATGAGCCCAGCATGTTGGGAACATTCTTTTCTAGCCAACGCGAGGAGTTAATTTCCCAGCAGAGTAGCACAAATGGGTCTTTGGCTGCTGCAGAAATGTGAAGTTAATTCTGGAAGCGCTCCACTCTGTGTCTCCCATAGGGCTGCAGAGTTATGTGGGTTGACAGACCGGTGGCTTGCACTGCCGGGCTCATGACAGCCCCCAGGAGCAGGAGAAGCTGCTGCAGAGTCCCCAGGTGCAAATTGCTTTGTGCTGCCTTGTTTTTATTTGACTTCTGGTGCCGTGAGGATGAGCAGAGAGACCATGCAGGAGGAGCGGGCTGGTTCAGCACTGCTGTTGCTGCACCCTGGTGCAATCAGATGAAAATTTGTGCTGTCTGATTTAAAGTTTCTCCTTTTTTTTTTTTTTTTTCTTCCCACTTGCTTCAGGGACCTTCAGAGGCTTGGGGAGCTGCAGTCAGAGTTGGCGGGGATGGCAGATTTCACCGCAACTTACCTTCAATGCCAGCTGCTCCTCATCAAGGTTGGGTTTCTTCTGCTTGGGGGCTGTTGGTGTGAAATGCCCACAGCCCCTTCCTGCTCGTCCTCTCCTGATGTTCGTGCTGAAAACTGTTCATAACCTCAGTGCAGGTTCCCTGGGGCCACTCAGTGTCCCTGCTTTCCTCACGCAGCAAATTATTCATGCAGCAACCTTGCAAATGAGTGCACCGTTGCAATGTCTGCTCTGTAGAGCTGGTCCGTGGTTGCTTTGCCAGTGCAGAGCTTGTAAATCTGTTTTCTGTCAGAAATGTACAGTGCTGAAGTGTTCTAACTGTTTTATATTAGCTGATGAACTGGTTATTTTGATAAAATAGCAGTGACTGCTTTCAGTCAGCTTCTTCCTGTAAGCAGAAACTCAAATTTCTTGCTTTACTTCTTGAGCTATACATTGGTGGTAGTGTTGGGGATAGTGTTTAGGTTAGTTTGCTGGTATTCTTATGTGTTTGAAGGTGACCTATACATATATATGTGTGTATATATATATATATATATATGTATATTTTATATATATATATGTATATGTATTTACACATACACAAAGCATGAATTCACAAACCAGTTTCCAGAAGGTGCCCAACAAAAGCTTTATCTCATAAAACCAGGAATGTATTTCAGCTTCTCTGCTAAATGTGTAGTTGCCAGATGGAATATCTTATAGCAGCCCACAAATCCTTGGAATACAGTCACCACCCAGAGAGGATATTTTGGATGAGTGGTGTTGCAGCTCGGAACAATAGCAGCTAAATCCACAAGTTCTGCCAAACGTGCTCTCCATGCAGAAGGCTGGCACTGGGGTTAGGCTTTCCTCCAGGTGTTGCCTGGGGGGAAGCAATTCACGTTAGCTGCAAGGCTGTGATATTTTGTATTTCTCCATGGTTTTGTTTTGCAGGCCCTGCAGGAGAAGCTGTGGAACGTGGCAGCTCCACTGTACCTGAAACAAAACGCGTTGGCATCTGCTGCAGCCAGACAGGTGAGGCTGAAGCTGCTGAGCCTCTGTGGAGGGAGATCTTGGGTACAAACCCTTCCTCCGCAAGCAGCAATAATCTGCTTCTGATTTTCCTCTATTGCAGTCTGCTCTAGTAAATCCTCGTTTACCAAAGTGGAGTAAATGGAACGTGGGATAATACTAATATTAGCTTTGACCTCTGCATGACTTCTTTGCTGCTGTGTTCTGGGTCACTTAAAAATGTTTTTTCTTTTAGGAAAATGGTAGGTTGTAGGGTGAGATGTACATGTGGAGTCAGTCGTCTTGTTGTAGAATGTCACCTTGTAGCACATCAGCTTTTTAAGGTGCCTGAACACTCACTGGAAACCACCGCAGAAGCAAACTAAGCCAGGCTTGTTCTTTGCCCGAGTCAAGCCTGAGACTTGTTCTAGGTCACTTTGCTGATCTGCAGTTTTCATGTCTCTGAGGATGTCACTCAAATGGGTGCGTAGGGTCGGGTGCGTTAAATTACATGATTTGCAGTTATATATTTGGACGGATATAAAATACATAAAGGGAGGTTCGTGATGACTGGGAAAAGGCAAAGGTCTTGCCCATCTTCCAGAGGGTGAGAAGATCCAGGGAGCTGCAGGCTGCTTGGCCAAACCTCAGCCCTGAGCAGGTCATGGAGGATCCATCCCTTGAGGGGCCATTTCTAAGTGTTTGCAGCAGCCAAAATGCATTGCCCAAGGACAAATCGCCCCTGAACAACCCCGTTGCTCTCTGCTGAGGTGACTGCAGTTGTGGCCAAGGGGAGGACAGTGAGTGTTGTAACCAGTTGTTGTAACCACTTCAGGTCCTTTCCAACCTGAATTTTTCTGTGGGTCCAATTACTATAAATGATTGGGTCCTGGAAAAAGCAAAGCTGAACCCTACCAAAAAGAGAAAGTGAAGGAGAAAGCAAGCTAATAAAATCTGGAAGCAAACCAAGGGTAAAGGCAAGTCGGTGTATCTGCTGGGAGGCAATATTG